AACTTTATTACCGATTCTCGCCCATCTCGACGTTCTTTCACTTTATAATAATTTCACCCGTGCGACATATACGCACATGTATACACCCACGCGATTTTAGCTCTACTTCTCTCCCCTGGACCCAATCGCTGAGGGGTTATGATTTAATGGGCCATTCGATATTTCCTACATGTCTGGAGATCCTGGATTGGATATGATTTGAGATACAATATAAAACAAAAGGTGTTATGGATGGATAACAGCCAACGTGTCAAATGCTAATGCCGGATTGGAATGTGATTTCAGGGAGACCGCCTGACACGGACACAGAGTTTTCAGGTCTCCTCCCCTTCTTTATACCAAACACTTACAAATAAACACACAAACACACTCCTTCCCTTTCCTTTAACTTCGAACAACTGCTATATCAGAGCATTTATTCATATGTTATATTGTTGAGCATCTCCCGAAATGGGTGAGATGAGTGGATATTGTCTTCTCCCTCGTTCTTTTACTGAGAAGCCCGGCGTTTTGGTCCAAGCGGCGTCTGGCCCTGTACTCGATAGTTAGAGTTGCTCTTTCTACATAGATATTTCGTTGGTTGGAAGATTGGCTACCATCGTATTAATATGCTGAAACAAATACCTGCAATTGAGATTATATTTCATCACTACAGGATATCCTGGCCTATGTCTTTCCTCTATTCTTATTCTATCATTGGGGTGACAATGGCCCTTGGGGCACTTGTCTGCCGGAGAAGATCGTACCATATGGTTCAAATGTCGGCTACCAAATCTCCTGCCACCAAGTCAATGATTCAAGGTGCTTCTCCCGGTCTGGCTCTTCACCGCTCCTCCTGAACGAGCCGAAGACGGTCTCCTTGCAGGCATCGGCCATCTTTGTAGAGCCACCGCAGATGGAGAAGATGGCATTCCTGGGGATGAGGTCGTTGACGGTGTCGGCCTCCTGCCGGAGGATGTCCTGGATGTAGACCTTATCCGGCTGGTCCCTGGAAAAAGCGGTGAAAACAGTCAGGGTCGCATTCTCGTCACCACCACCACCACCATTGCCATCCTTGCTCAGATCATCCCACTCCTTCTCGAAGAAGAAGTCCTTGGAGCGGTTCCGGTTGCCGAAGAAGAGGAGCATGGGTCCCGGGTTGGGGTGGGTGAGCCGCTCGTGGATGAGGCACCTCACGGGGGCGAGGCCAGTGCCCGTGGCCATGGCGACGAGCGGGCGCTGGGCGTTTTGGGCGCCGTGGATGGGCGTGAGGACTGGCTTGTAGCCGACGCGCATGCTGGCGTTGGGAGGAAGGGAGGCTAGGTAGCGGGAGCAGAGGCCCTGGCGCGGTTTGCGGAGGATGGTGCGGTAGCGCACGAGGGCGACGAGGAGCTCTACGCGGGTGATGCTCTCATCGCCGGTGGGGTGGGCGAGGAGGGCTCCCCCGTTGGCGATGCTGAAGTCGCGGCCGCGGATGAGAGGGAAGACGTCGAGGAGGCGCTCTGGGGGGATCTTGACCGATGTGAATTCATCGAGAACTTCGAGGATCGTTCGCCGAGAGCGGGTGGCGTAGTCAAAGTACTCGTCGAGGAACTCGGTTTTGGTGAACTCGAGTAGTCTCTCTTTGTGATTAGGGTCAGTCGCGAAATAGGACATGCTCTTGAAAAAAGACCGGCGAGGAATCGAGGTGAAGTCTATGTTTTCAAGGAGAAGCTGGCGAATGGTACACGGTTGGGAGGCGTGGAGGTTTCGTGGGAGGGAGGGACAAGCCGAAAGGTCGAGTTGCTGGTCAGCGACAGACTCCCAGCTCATGAGAGTGATCAACTTTTGAACATCTTCGGGGAAGTTCTTGGGATAAATTGTTAAACAATCGCCGGGATTGCACGCCAGTTTCTGGCCGTCAGCACGGGAGGGGACATCGAACCCGAGAAGTCTGACGTCCTGCCAGTGGGAGAGCGGCGTCATACGTTTGCTCTCAGCAAGGGTAGCTTCCCATCCATCGGGTATTGGGAGAGGTCCTGGAGGTGGTATGTCTATATCCGAATGTGAAATAATTTTGGCCGAGTCGGTGCTGCTGTGGCTCAACGCAGGCGAAAGCGACCACCTTGGTGGTAATATAGAATCATCGGATATGGGAGCCCGGCCAGCCGGAGGAGGATATTCCTCTAGTAGATGATCATAAAATTTGCCGGCCCAAGATGAGAAAGCACCTTCTATCCTGGAGATTCCTGTCACTTGCCATGCTTTCACGCGTAGACTCGTTTTTACTCACCCGTCGTCAAAGCGCTCGTCAGCCTCGAAGCAGTCGAAAAAAGTATTCGCCCCTAGTTGTTCTAGTCGACGAATGAGCTTGCGAGCTGCCCAATTGAACCTATTAAAAGCATGTAAGCACAATGAAACTATATAAAGCAACGCCTTTGTTCTTACTTCAAGTATGTGCTATCTCCTAGGCCGAAGCAAGTATACCGAACTTGACTAAGACAACCGGGAGGCAGCTTCTTCCGCAAGAGTTTCCTCCAGAAGAGTAGAGAGTTATGGGGCATATCCCCTTGTCCAGTGGTTGAGATGACGAAGATGACAAACTGATGCTGTAAAAGTGAATTCTAACCGGCGATATCATGTTAACTGCTGTTGTAAACGGGATCAATTCCGAGCAACTGACCAGATCGGCACCATCTAGCTCTTCTACGTGGCTTTTGAAATGTAAGCGCTGACATAGGCTACCCAGTTCTTCAGCTATGTCTTGGGAATTTCCAGTCTCGGATCCATAGAGGATCAAGATGCTCCTGCTCGGTGAAGCCATGGCGGTTGTGGTGCCCAGAGGCTACGGTACAGTCAAAGGCTGGCTTTGACCCGGACTCGGAAACCTTGTGGGCTAAAGCGGGGCGAGGGAGCAAGACTGGAAATCTATCAAAACGAGCTCAAAACTCCTTCCGGAGGGCGCGCAGTGGGAGTTCAAGCGGTATTTGGGCAAGTGAAGATTGAAAAATTGTGGGCTTTGATAGATGCCGATGACGGGGCGTTGTTCCTAGTGCAAATAGCCTACTCCGAGGTAGGCACTTGCTAGATCGAGCATCTTATCAATCTTCAGCCTGGGGTCGGGTCCAAGGCTTGAAATTCACATTCTTGCGAATTCCAGGAATGGGACCTTTACAAGGTTTGGCGAATGAGTGCAGTGGACTTTTAATGTGTGGGATTGTTCATTTCTGTATGGCTGAAAACTACTTTCCAAAGGGTACTAAGATACCTTAGGTAGGTAGGTATATATGTTCTGGTGATACCTGGCGTTCACAGTTCTCGGTTTGCGTTGTTTGGTCAGTGTGCAGGGCTGTATTTTTTTGGCGTTAGAAATCAATCAACTGCCTAAGGTATGCGCCGTCTCTTTTCGCCATTGAGCCAAGGTTGGAGGGGGGAGTCGGAAAATAGAGAATAGAAGCCGTTGGCCGTAGATTGATATGCACTGTCGGAGAGGCTGTACGTTGATTCCAAAATGCCACCCATCAAATGGGTTTGTACATACCTAAAGCTGGACAAGAGCTCCTTCTTGCTTCACAACAAGCGGGACTGGGGCTCTGCAGGTGCACTTGCCGACGGACACTTCCTGTGGCGCCTTGGGAATTAATTGCTTTGTCTCGGTACGGGAAGGAACAGGAGGGCTACTAAATGCCTTGGGAGGCCTGGATGTCTTTGGCTTCAAAGTAAAACAACAAGTAGCGCGGCCCTGAGCAGGCACCTGCTGCTGCCACATCGAAGGCAATAATATCCGAGACGCCACCACCTTCCGTGCACCACCTGAAATTAGAGTTCCGCTCCGCTTATCTTGCGAAGCATGTGAGGAGGCTTCGCTTCTGGTTTGTCCCTTCTCCTTGTTCTCCATATCGTGTCAGTCCTTCCTGAAGACGAGCCTGGAGACTAGACCACACCCATGCATTCTCTTCCGCGGACTGGGGAAGCCGGAGGCCAGGTCAGGCAGTATTGCAGACCGGGTCCACCGCTAGACTGAGGCATGCGTCTCCTGCAAGACAACATCATCAGGGGCCCTGGAATCTCCGATCTACCCAATAAGTTCAAGTAGTGCCAGCCAGTGCGGAGTGAGTCATTGCGGTGTGCAGAACAACACTGTAGGAGGGTGAGTGCCCTTGCAGCTAGCGCGACTGTTCTCGCAGCTTCTGTCTGAACCACGGTGCATAGAGTTGCGGTGATCAATGGCCACCCACTTGCACTTGGCACTTGCGGCCTCCGCTCGCTCCGTACTTGCCTCTTCGTCCACTGCCCGCCATTCCTGCACCGTGCCCCAGCTCGGCAAGTCCAAAACAACAGATCCAAGAGCGCAATTTGCGGCCATCGGTCAATCCTTCCTCCTTTAATGGGTTCCCGTCGGTCCGCTTACGTGACCCTGTCTCACCTTTCTGTTGTAGCTCAGTGTTATGCGCAGGAGTAAGCTGTGATGTGGTTGTAGCTTCCTGCTGGGGACAAGGCGGGAAGGTACACCTCAGCCAAGGTTTGGGGCGGCCAGCTCCCTTTGAGTCGCGTGTACCTATTATTACCCTGACCTGGATGCTCCTGCGCCTGGAACAACACCTAATTAGCCCCCCCTGCCACAATTACCTGCAGCAACGCTCGCTAGGTGCCTCGCCGTAGTGGCCGCCACCGCCCCCTGGCTCTGGCCTTATTACCAAACATACCTAGAGCAGAGGTAGGCAGGAGCAAAGGCCAGCATGCCCAAAAAAATATTTCATATGTCGCGACGCTCCCAGCTCCCTCTCCTTTTCCCTTTCTCATCACAATACTCCAGTCAACTAGTGTCTCCGCGCAACGCATCGTCGTCTGTCTAATCTCAACCCGTACCTAGGGCACCAAGCCACCCTGACCAACACTCCTCCTTATTGCTCCAAGTGTTCGATTCCCCGAACTTCAACCACAAGCTATCACTTTCGAACGTTACCGCACCCTTAGGCTGGTCCACAAGTTCGAAACGTCATCCTTCACGACAGTCCTCTACACACTTCAAACCCGCCATCATGTCTGCTGCCCCTGTGGAGAAGGTCCCCGAGACCGCTAATGTTAATGACGTTACAAATGCTCTGAGCAATACCTCTCTCAATGATAAGGCCGCCGCAAACGAGGCTGCTTCGGCCAGCGCTGCCGAAGGCCGCCGTCTGTATATCGGCAACTTGGCCTACGCGACAACTGAGGGGGAGTTGAAGGACTTCTTCAAGGACTATCTTGTGTATGTGGCCATTCCTGACCGGGTTCCTTTGTCGAGTTCTTGGCAATGTTGTGATGGGACGTTGGGAGAGGACTTGGTTGCAAACCGTTTGGCCAACTCGAGGCTCTCGTGGTTACACCAACTTTTGCAATCTCGCATCCCTCGACTTTCCCTCGTGCTCATTTAACTCGCCTTTTACTTTTGAGGCTACATATCCCCAGTCTTGTTTTCCAGTATATGCTAACTTGTAATTTTAGTGAGTCCGTGTCAATCCCGAAGAACCCACGCACCGACCGTCCTGTTGGCTACGCCTTTGTCGACCTCTCTACCCCTACTGAGGCCGAGCGTGCTATCGAGGCCCTCTCTGGCAAGGAGATCCTTGAACGCAAGGTTTCCGTTCAGCTTGCTCGCAAGCCCGAGCCAGCTGGCGAGAAGACCGAGGCAGCCAACGGTGAAGGTTCTGGTGGTGAGGGCACTCGCCGTCGCGCCTCTGGACGAGGCCGAGGCCGGGGCCGTGGTCGCAACGGACGAGGCGCCCGCGCTGCCCGTGGTGTAAGTGTTTGACGGAGTTTCGCTCGCTTTTGCTCTTTTCTGACATTCTCTGTAGGACGGCGAGAAGAAGGAAGGTGAGACTACTGAGGCTGCCGCTCCTGCCTCTGGAGAGACCCCTGCCGCTCCCGCAGCTGCTGCTTCCACCGAGTCCAAGCCTCTGGCCGATGTGACCAACCAGGATGTCTCTGCTGGCGATGATGCTAAGGCCCAGCGCGCCCGCCGTGAGCGTGGCCCCCCTGCCGATGGTATTCCCTCTAAGATCAAGGTCATGGTCGCTAACCTGCCCTATGACTTGACTGAGGAGAAGGTTCGTGTCTACGACATATTGTGATGGCATTCTATGCATTGTACTGACCAAATACAGCTTATCGAGCTGTTCAAGGACTACCAGCCTTCCTCGGCTAAGATTGCCCTCCGACCTATCCCCCGTTTCATGATCAAGAAGCTTCAGGCCCGTGGCGAGGCCCGCAAGGGACGTGGATTCGGTTTCGTTACTTTGGCTTCTGAGGAGCTGCAGCAGAAGGCTGTTGCTGAGATGAACGGCAAGGAGGTTGAGGGACGTGAGATCGCCGTCAAGGTCGCCATTGACTCTCCCGACAAGACCGACGAGGAGGCCAATGCCCCTGCTGACGCCGATGTCAACGGAAAGGAGGAGAAGAAGGCTGATGCTAAGGCTGATGCCGCTGCCCCCACAGCCACCGAGGCTGCCCCTGCCTCCACTCCCGCCACTACTGCTTAAATGCAGGTGGCAAAAGGGTGTTGTACTCCACCTTCAATGAGTACATTACGATATGGTACGCGATTTTGACGAATTTTTCTTACAGTAGATGTTATCTACAGCAGTCTTTGAGAGGGCGTCTGGCTCTAGGTGAGCCGACGGTTGAGAATTCTCGACCGGACCTCTCTGGACAATTGAAAATCTTGGGATGGGTGTTGATGCCGCCTTCTTTTTAACACTTGGCAACGCTCTATTTTCATGCACTGGGACCATAATATACGGGGAATCAGACAAGGAATCAAAAGTTTTGAAGCTGGGGCTCAAATTTCGTGTATCCATATCAAAGTTTTTCCATTTTCACTTGCGGTCGCTTTCTGCTGGGTTATGTATGCGTTAGCTTGAGCATGGAGTGATCGGGTGGGAATATCTAATGAAAACAATAGCGCTACGGTTGAGCTGCCTACCTAACTTAATGCAGACCAATAGACCTAATTATGCTTGAGACCGCTTTCCCTTCACTATCGTGATCGCTTCAAGAGGAGGCTCTAGCCCTTCTTGAATTCCACTTGTTGTAGAAAACACCTTTTTTGGCCCGTCGCCTGAGTCCTGGAGCTAAGTTTGGTATTAAAGATTACCTAGGTAGTTGAGGTTGGGCTTGATCAACGCAACCAGAAGCGGAATTCCAATCCAAGGAAAGAGAACTAATGACTACCGTTGAGGAGTTCAATGGCTACAACATCCGCGCCAAGGGCTGGGGAGCTGTGTCCATCTCGCGTGATATGATTATCCTATCCCTACCATTTTAACTTTTCAAAATAGACCAAACAGCTGGTTTTGCAATATTCATATCTGGATTAAAATCAGATTCGATCAGTAAAGGGAAGAATATCTTGCTATGCTTGTAGATGCGTTCGATAGTAACTGCACGTATTCTAGAACTTTCTGTTTCCCCTGCTCTTCAAGAATATGTGTCAGGGGTCGCCAAGGGTTTCTTCATGTGTGCAGCACATCGAGAGGAAAGGCTGGATCAACCCAAACAACCAGAAGGAATATTTTTGGGGTCCCATGTGACATAGCCACCGTGACACAGTTGTAGTTCTTCAACTATGAGCATGTAGGGATTTTGCAATTTACCCACACATTATCGAACATGGATATGGTGATAGCCTGCAGGTTGATCGTCACAAGAGTACTGTTATTGCTGTTATCAATCAACGCCTCGCTGGGGTCTGGTGCGTGGTCATTGGTATCAGAACGTAGTCACGAGGGTGTGATCCGTTGGTGTGAAATGGAGTTTTTGGAGAGAAGGACAAGTATTAGCTGAAAGAAGCATTGAGATTATGTGAGTATACTGAAGTTTGGTATTTAAACGAGTATGTATCATGGTATAGGAATGTTATTTGCCAATGGCCAGTCTCTATCCCCTATGTCTTGAGTGGAAGCGTCATGGTATTATTAGTATGACAGACAGGTGATAAGTGGCAGCAGCTTATCGGTCCGCTGATGAGGCGACCAGTCACTCGATGATTGGGTGACCAATGTGCTGTAATTACATACCTAGGGACAGTCGTGATCTCTTGATTCTAATGTATTGTATGTAAACAATATGTCCAAAAATTGTTAATTGGTAAACCATATCTCCATGTATAATAATAGCTAAGATTAGGGGGTGGAGAGTGTGAAATGGGCTCAGGTGGTGTTCTGCGCTGGGGACAGCATTAGCTGTCCGGTGGTAGGTCCTTCCTCAGTGGGGGAGGTCTCGGGGGTCTGGATTGTTTTGGCCCCTGGAGGATTTGCTTTGAGACGACACACTCTCCCGCTTAGGCTATCTCATCACCGCTGCAGGCTCTCTTCTTTTGCTAGGCATTTGCTTTCCTTTGCACCTTCTCTCTCTATTAGCACAGCCAGAGACGGCCTTCCATATCACAATGGCGTCCAAGGCCATGTGGGAGGTAGACCCAGAGACCAGGTCCAAGGTAGGTTGCTCGTACCTAGAATTCCACATGCTCTGGTCCCTTGTCTTTGCTAACGCCCAATCTCTGTGTCCCCCCTTACGCAGCTGGCTGCTCTTCAAAAGGAATCGAACAACAATATTTGTTGCGACTGCGGTGCGCCCTCACCGCAATGGGCATCCCCCAAGTTTGGCATCTTCATTTGCCTCACGTGCGCCGGCAAGCACCGTGGCCTCGGTGTACACATCTCCTTTGTTCGAAGTGTCTCCATGGACGCCTTCAAGTCAGTCGAAATCGAGCGAATGCGACTTGGCGGAAACCAAGGCTGGCAGGAATTCTACGAAGCGCATGCCGACTCGAAAGTCACCTGGGACGCGGGCACCGAGTCCGATCGGTATACGGGAGAGATTGGTGAGGAGTGGAAGGAGAGATTGACGTGCAAGGTGGAGGGCAAGGAGTACGTCCCAGGAGAGAAGAAGCCAGCTCCCGCGCCAAAACCGGCCTCGAGGCAGCCCATGTCGCCATTGAGCGGAACTGCGAACCGAAGCGAGAGCCCAGCTCAGGGTGGAAAGGTAAAGGTGGACGACCAATACTTTGCGAGATTGGGCGCAGACAACGCCTCGCGTCCAGACCACCTACACCCAAGCCAAGGAGGCAAATATGCAGGCTTTGGCAATACACCTGGGCCTGGCCCCCAAAGCCCAGGTATAATGCCAACGTTTGACGATGTGCAAAAGGATCCGGTCGCGGCTCTGACAAAGGGCTTTGGGTGGTTCACGACAACCGTCTCTAATACAGCAAAAACTGTCAATGACGGCTATATCCAGCCTGCCGCAAAGAACGTACGTCTCAACTTGTCTGACTTCTTCGTTTCACTATTACCCATCATGCTAACTTGGCAATGCGAATTCAGTTTGCAGAGGGAGATTTCGCCAAACAGGCCCAACTCACCGCGGCACAGTTGGCAAAGCAAGCCCAGATGGCAGGGAAGAACGCACAGGAAGGATTCAACCGCTTTGTCGAGGGAGGTCAGGAGCAGCACGGCACTAGAGCTCCTCTCATGGATGAGAGCAAGAAGACATTCTGGGACGATTTCTCCAACCTGGCAGAGCAGAAGAAGCAGCACAGCAGCGCCATTGGAACAAGCGCAATGGGAATGGGAAAAAATAGAGCGGCGGCAGCGCCACAGACTAAGAAGCAAGGGGACGATTGGGACGACTGGTGAGCTCGGAAATAGAGGCTGTCGAGGGGGGCATTGGGTCTTATACTGATAAGGAGCATCGGCGTTTACATCACTGAGAGATGCAGTTTTGAGATGCCTCATTTGACAATGCTAGCGATTTACTAGCTTACCGTGTTTCTTGATTTGAGAGCTCTCATTGCTAGCCATGGCTTGAGACAATGTTATGGTTGATAGAGAGGTGGTGCGTTGGAAATGAAGCCATGCATATTTCTACTCGGGTGACATGTAGTGGTAGCCACGTTTGCCTGCCTTTTTCTTGCCTACAAAGCCGAGCAAGTCCACTGAGCCCGACTTCACATGCTACTTCGCCTTTATGGACTTGTGCGTTTGCCCCTGGCAACCTGCCAAATGTTGTGTGGGCTGGATTTCAAGTTCCGACCTCCGGAGGCTACGTCACGTGCCCGAATGTCCCGAGGTCTGAAGCCGGGAGTAACCGCCCCGAGTCGCCGCAATAGTATCGCCAAAGCCCAAGTAGCCGGCTTCTTTGATACTTAACCACGCCGGAGTCCAACTGCAGGTGGTGAATTAAAGACGCAATTCAGTCACAATGTCCGCGCTACGTATCCTCGTTCCCGTCAAGCGGGTCATTGACTATGCTGTACGGTCCTCTCCCTTCCAATACACTTTTTTTTTACACAGCTAACCGGGCTTGAATTTCGCTAGGTCAAACCCCGAATCAACAAGGCGATGACCGGCGTGGAGACCGTCGGCGTCAAGCACTCGATGAACCCCTTCGACGAGCTCTCGGTCGAGGAGTCGGTCCGCATCCGCGAGGAGAAGCGCGCCCCGGGCGGCGTCGAGGACATCGTCACCATCTCTGCCGGCCCCGCCAAGGCCCAGGACGTGATCCGCACGGCGCTCGCCATGGGCATCGACCGGGGCATCCACGTGGAGCTCAAGGAGGGCGAGGAGCTGGAGCCGCTGACGGTGGCCAAGCTGCTCAAGGCGACGGTGGAGGCGGAGAAGAGCAACCTCGTGCTGCTGGGCAAGCAGAGCATCGACGACGACGCGGGGCAGACGGGCCAGATGCTGGCGGGGCTGCTGGGCTGGCCGCAGGCGACGCAGGCGAGCAAGGTGGAGTTTGGCGAGGGCGACTCGGTGACGGTCACGAAGGAGATTGACGGTGGCGTGGAGACGGTCAAGGCGAAGCTGCCGATGATCGTGACGACGGACCTGCGGCTCAACACGCCCCGGTTCGCCAAGCTGCCCAACATCATGAAGGCGAAGAAGAAGAAGCTCGACAAGAAGACGCTGGCTGACTTTGGGCTTACGAGCGACAAGAAGCTTAAGATCTTGAAGGTTACTGGTGAGTTGCAGTTTTCCCCTCCTCCTCATCACAGCTATGAAACCATTCCATTTTGCTTCTGTGCTGAGGCAATGGTGTCATGAATGTTGTTGGCTAACTTGTGTGCCTAGAACCCCCCGTGAGACAAGGCGGAGGCAAGGTTGAGGATGTTGGTGGTCTTGTTAGCAAGCTGAAGGAACTTGGCGCTCTGTAGGCGGCAAGTTAAAAGATGGAATCTCTTTCGGGTATAATTAGACCGATTAACGAATGAAAAGACAGCAATGAACAAATGTAAATGCTACGCTTGCGTGAAGAATTGGCCATCCAGAGCTCCGGAGTCGGCACTCATTGATATATTTGATCCCAAGCTCCATGGTGCACGGTCAACACTAGGCCACCCTTTTGATTATAGTTTGTTCGATGCCTTTGTCCAGTACCGTCATCGTGATGTGTACTTAAGTAACGTCACATGAGGCGGCCCCTTGCCGTTGTGTGAGAACGCGGGGACGAACTTTGATATTTGGAGGGGAACCTTCCCAGGCCGGCCACTCGCACATTCACATGATTGATAGCTGTTAAAACTGGTAGAGGCTGGGGTAATTCGACCACAGTGCACACAGGGTTTCGTCACTTCGCAACCCCGTGGAGAAGTCGTAATGGGTAAAGTGTCGCACTTGTCTAATAGGCTTGGGCATGAATTGGGATCTGGAGGCTTGCTACACGAGGGAGGATCCTTTCCCTAGGCAACATTCTGAGAGATCACAATGCCTCGTCGGTGGCTCAGTTGTCCACTTATGACCACGCATGCAAAAAAAATTACATAACGGCATTCTCAATGAATCATATGCAAATAATTCATGCCTAGACACGCATGTGTAATATGAGGCATTGCATTCCAGGTATCGTGTTACTACCTCACCCATGCATGGTAGCTATACTCCAATTCGACAGCCCTCATAGGAGTAGCTGTGTGGAGGATCGATCTGACAGCAAGTGAAGCGCTAGCCATGTCTGTTATGTTCGATCAATATATACTGCGCTGCTGGGCGCAATTCCTGTTAGTCAAAGTTTGTCGAGGGCTTTCGTGGTGAGGCTCTTGGCACTTCAGGTCTCCCGAACCACAGACATGGGGCGCCAGTTCCCAATTAGGAAAGTACATTACAATTCACCACCTGCATGGTTTAGACAGGGGCTCTGAGAGGCGGGGAGGTGGCGGCTGACTCGGTGGTGGGCGGTCTGGATGTGAACGGCGACGATATCGGCGTCACTGGGCGGAGACCTTTTAGCTGGTCTTGTGCGCTATCAGAGGGCATCTGGGCGCTGTGCCCCGCCATGCCACCGCTGATCGAATCAGCAAACGCGCCCTGACGAGCCAAAATTAGTTGCGTCAGGGTGCTGGAGCCAATAGATAAGCCTCTTTTGTCAATCTGTGACTCCTCTGTGTGGCAGTTCCGAACATTGCGGTGACTTCCTTTATCTACGTCTGCGTCGCTTTTTTTTTTCTTCTCTTCCCTTCCACACCTTTTGCAAACCACCACTTTCACAACGCTAAGCTACCCATTGCTTGCTCAACATTTCCTGCACATCAGCTACATGTGCTTGATTACCTATTCATTATATTGAACCGACTCCTTTGAAACCGCCCTTATGAACGGGCGCCCGTCAATCTTCACTTCTCAAGTAAGTCTCTGGGAGCGGCTCCGAAACCCCACCATTGAGCTCACACGAGGGCACCTCGAACCTGTCGTGCAATGCATTGGGAAGGCATTGCCAATTCCCAGTGCACTTACTTGGCTTGGTATCTCTCGTTGGGCTCTCCGCTATTACAATTTCAACTCTCGTGCTGTCAATTGGCCAGAAACTAATTCGAGCTCTTACAGGACTATTTCTCAGGTTCGTACGACCCTCCCATCCGGGACTCAAACGTTGTCGAGGATCGATCCACAATGGCCGAATAGTCATGCTAACATGGCGCTAATCGCAAAGACCATCTCTGGAGGTCTCTGTCATCGTAGAAGTTATATAAACCGAACAGCCTTTATCTCACCCAAAAACAACCACCACACCAACAAAACATCATGTTCTCCCGATTCGCGAAGAGCTTCGCCCAAAATGCGGTCAAGCCTTCCACATCATCCCGATTGAGCCTTCAGCTCAGGTTCTCATCCAACCAGACTGCCGTCTCCGGAAGCAAAGGCAGGAAGATGCCCTACGTTCCCCGATCCGCTACTCCCGTCGCCTCTGTCCCTGCCACCTTCACCATCCGAGTATGTGCACTCGATTCTCTGACGATCCCAACATAAAGCTAATCCCCCGACGCAGGATGGTCCTGTCTTCCAGGGTAAGGCTTTTGGTGCCAATGCCAACATCTCCGGCGAGGCGGTCTTCACCACCTCGCTTGTAGGTTACCCCGAGTCTATGACCGACCCCTCATATCGTGGTCAGATTCTAGTCTTCACCCAACCATTAATCGGAAATTATGGTGTTCCATCCAAAGAGCGAGACCAGTGGAACCTGCTCAAGTACTTTGAGTCGCCTCACATCCAATGCGCTGGTGTTGTCGTCTCTGATGTCGCTCTCAAGTACAGCCATTGGACAGCTGTTGAGAGCTTGAGCGAATGGTGCGCCCGAGAGGGTGTTCCTGCCATCTCGGGCGTGGATACCCGAGAGATCGTCACCTATCTGCGAGAGCAGGGTTCTTCCCTCGCCAGAATCTCCATTGGTGACGAGTATGATGCTGACGAGGATGAGGGCTTCATTGACCCCGGCCAAATTAACCTCGTTAAGCGTGTCAGCACCAAGGCTCCCTTCGTTGTCGAGTCTCCCGGTGCCGCTTTCCACGTTGCTCTTCTTGATTGCGGCGTGAAGGAGAACATCCTTCGTAGCCTCGTAAGCCGAGGAGCCTCCGTCACTGTCTTCCCTTACGACTACCCTATCCACAAGGTTGCTCAGCACTATGACGGTGTGTTCATTTCCAACGGGCCTGGTGATCCGACTCACGCCGCTCAAACCGTCTACAACTTGGCTCGCCTGATGGAGACCTCGTCCATCCCCATCATGGGTATCTGCCTCGGTCACCAGCTTCTTGCTCTTGCCGTAGGGGCCCAAACCATCAAGATGAAGTATGGCAATCGAGCCCATAATATCCCCTCCCTCGACCTTACCACCGGACAGTGCCATATTGTAAGTTCATCTTGTGATTCAGTTTGCGTAGGCTTATATTAATGTTATTGCCAGACCTCCCAGAACCATGGCTACGCTGTCGACGCCAGCACTCTTCCCAGCGACTTCAAGGAGTACTTCGTAAACCTCAATGATGGAAGCAACGAGGGTATGATGCACAAGACTCGCCCCATCTTCTCTACCCAGTTCCACCCCGAGGCCAAAGGTGGCCCAATGGACAGCTCCTACCTCTTCGATAAGTACCTGCAGAACGTCCAGCGCGAGAAAGAAAGCCAGGCCGTCTACAAGGACAACCGTCCCAGCCAGTTCCTACTTGACATTCTCAGCCGTGAGCGCGTCGGCGTTGAGCCCTCTCCTCTCGCTCAGGCGGCATAAGTGACAAAATTCAACTTCAAGTTCAGGATGTTGCTCAGGGATTTACGAGAGAGGAGATGAATAAGTTTGCATTTGAGAGTATAAGAATGTGTGGAATAGCGTTTAGGGAGGCGATCAAATCTTGATTTTTACCGTAATTGAAATGAAACAATTTGGAAATACGAGAATATTTCTGTGTATATTTGATTGATCTGATATGTGGTATAAGATTGCAATTGCGTTTCGATTCTATCTTTGAACCATCAGGTTCCCTTCGTACATTAAAAAGGGGCTATCTACCCGGATGCCGTGCTGGTGCTCCTCCTTGCTTCGAGCACGTAGGCCATCTAATCCCGTAGAACCTTTGCCCATTCATGATCATTAAATACCGCGTGGCTTTGCAATATCACACTGTAACTCCATTTGTCCTGAGTCATGCCCCCTTTTCCATTAGAGGCCCATGTGTGAACGGCACCCCCTTTTTCAGAAGTGCCATGGCAGGTGTTGACTAGCTCCTTACCATACCTTGGTGTATGTAAGTGAAGTTGAAAGAAAATAGATGATAAGAGCCCACCCTCAACGGTGTTCTCCCCGGCAGAGAGAGCAGATCACGCGTCTGCCGATAGTTACGTCGGCGTCCATCGATATGTCAGTGGCGTGCGATTCTCCTATCTGTAATCGCGACGAGGAGGGCGGTCGTCACGACCACCAGCACCACCGGGGAGGTATCTATCCCCGCCTCTTCTGTGTGGGGGCGGTCCTCCTCTTCGTCCTCCAAACCCTCCTCCGCCAAACCCTCCTCCACGAGGTCCTGCGCGGGATCCTCCTCGCGTGGGGCGATCGCGTTCGCGGTGGGGGGGTCGGATGCCCTCGAAGACCTCCTTACCCCGGTCAACGAAGCCGTCTCCATCTTCAAACGAGTATCGGTTGAAGTCACGGCCGAGATCGCGACGGTCGACGTCACGCTTATAGAAGCTGCGCATGTTATCCAAACGCCGACGGGCGAGATCCTCCGATACTGCAGTGTAGCCAATGACTGGCTGGGCCTGTGTCCGCTTTGCGTCGAACATGCCTCCGGCCATATGTCCAGGTGGAGGGCGTGGGCCGGGGCCGGAGCGCTTGCTACGGGGTCCCGTGGGTGCGTTGCTTATGCTCAGGTCTCTCTGCGACCGTGGGCCGACGGGGATGTTGTTCGCGCTGTCGGCGGACACGGGGGGTGCGAACCTGCCACTGGCTGCTGATGGGGCGGGGGGAGGTCCGGCTCGCGGGCCTGCAGCTGAGGCGACTTCCAGGCGAGCCTCGGTGTTCCCGTTGGCGTCGCCCGAGTAGACGACTTCCCAGCGGGTAGACGAGCGGCCGCCTTGGCCGGATTCCTTCTCGATCCAGGCTGGTACCTTCTCGGGCGGGATGAAGTCCACCCATAGAGCTTTGCGATTACTCTCGTTGGGCCAGACACAATCGTGGAGGACGTTTCGTACTCGGGAGGCTGCTGATAGGTTGTCGAATACGACAAATGCGTGACTGCGAACTTGGTCAATGTGGAATTCAGTGATGATATCGTCGTTGGGGGGTTGGCCAGCAGGAGTGGCAAGGTCGGCAAGGTGTGTTTGGATATCAACTGGACGAAGCGGTCGCATCAGGTTGGAAATGTACAGCGCCGTAGTGGCGGGGTGCACAGATGGCGGCACATCTCGCTCAGAGCCAGCCTTGTTTCCTGTAGAGCCTCCAGTAGGCTGTCCTAGCTTGTTCTGAGTCTGCACCCCTTCCACGCTTTCACCAGTGGGCTCCTCTGCTGATTGTTCGGGCTGAGCCTGCCTGGAACTCGCTGGACCAGCTGATGTATTGATTATTTCACTCTGTAGAGTACGTGCTCGCTTAGCAACAGCTTCCGCGTCGGGGGTCGGGGTAGCAGAGCGACGTTTGCGCTTCTGCGACTCGGCTTCGGTGGGAGGCGGATCGTTGAATAAAGTTTCGGTAGGCTCTCGTCCAGTCTCGGATGCGACAATAATCTCGTCTTGCTGGTTCTCTGCCGGCTTCTCCTCGGAAGTGCTTGAGGGCTCTTGACGGAGGGCTTCAGGCACTTCCTTATCCGCGGAAGGTGCTCTCGCTTCGGTGCTCGGTTCAGGCGAGGTTTGAGGCAGCTCTTCGCTAAGCACGGACCCTTTCGAATCTTCTGTGCTTTTGTTTTCTGGTTCGAAATCTCGTACTTCGACGTCCTTCTCTGAGCTGGGCTTGATTTCGGCCGGTGCTTGGACTGATATCGTATCAGAGGACGCTGTACCGTCTGGTGTTTCAGCTTCATCCTTGCCTAGGCTTTCGGACGAGTCGCCCTGCGCACCTTGTCCATCTTTTGCTTCTTCCTCATTGCTGGCTCCGGGCGCAGCCTCGCTCTGGTCGGCTTCGACGAGGCGCGCGACCAGCTCAGCCTTCAGGCCATGCTGAGGGAGGTCGCGGCGCTTGAGCTCTGCTTTGAGATCAACGACCTTGAGTTTCGCCCAGTCGGCCATAGTACGGCCAATTGATCCCCTCGGACCACGTTCTTGGGTATGTCTTTAGCCAGTCTCTGGGGGTAGATTGGCGAGTTCGAGTCTATGCGAAAGGAGCTATGGGACGGACTGTGGCCTAGATGGACGGCGCGGCTAGCCACGGGATGGGAATTCACGAGAGCAAGAAGGATTTTCGTGCACCTGTGCACTTGTCCAGGGGCCGAGTCCGCAGCGGTGATCGAGCAGACAGATGGTGATGCAGGTAGCAAGGTTGTCGAGGCTGCTGCAGCATCAATTAATGACACCCGGGTTAGTTCCAGCCCGCGTGCGCGTGTGTCGCGAGCCAAAGGAGAAAAGCGACCAGCCAACAAATGCAGGCCCACCAGCCCACTAAGCCTGTTCTAGGGGCTGAGGTCGATTGATTGTGTGGCGAGTGGAGCAAGATCACCAGTTTGGCCCACACACTTAGAAACAGGAGGACGGTTGCCTGCATGGAAGTACCCTGCTGGTACCCTGAGCTGTCTGATTGTGACAGATACCGGCCAGCAGCACCTGGATATACATGCACGTTACCGCCTCACCTCATCACGCACACCATCTTGCTGCTTAGCATCTCCGAAGAGCGAATGAAATACTCCGAAAGCAACATTCCCCACCATCTTCTGTTTCAGTAAGCTCTCTTGTGCGCCCAAACTACATGTCGTAGGTACAGATTTCACTGCGATGCCATTGAACGATGCGACGTAACAGTAACCAGCCAGTCGTTTATGAGGGAAAAATTTTCCATTGAGGCCAACGCAGCAGCACAAGGAGAAAAGACGGGGTTGGTGAGCTTGGAAAAGGAATTGAATTGAAAAAAACAGCATAACATTCGATTTCATTCGTTAAAAGTAGCTAGGTAATATGGTTTTACAAGTTTGGGTTTTGGATATTAATATTGTCACACACGTACCAGCTCACATGGCGCCAGATGGGGGCCACCTATATAGAGCGGCACAACTGGCACTCGTCTGCCGGGCTTAAACGTCGAGACCATCAACGACGATGCCCTTGTTCCAGGACCACTGCATGATCCTGGCCACCTCCACCGCACATTCATCATCAACCATAGCGCTGACAAGGTACAAAGCTGCGTCAATGCCAGCGCTGTTTCCCCCAGACGTGATGACCCGGAGTCCGCCAAGGCGCATGGCTGCGCGGCGAACAATGGATTCACGGCGGGAGTTCGAGCCCTTGAAAGAGGTGCTACCCTTTCTATAACGGTATTAGTATTGTACACGTAGTAATTAGATTTCGTTGAGGTTGGGGCATACCGAGCATTCGATGGCCGGCGTCCATTGTCGACACTTTTGCGACGGATGTATGGATTCTCATCCTCGTCACCCAAGTCAAATCTGAGATTGTTAACAACATAGCGAGCGTCCTCAATGACGTCAGTTCGCTCTTGGAGGTTGCGAGTAGCAGCGTCACTGCAGATATTCTCGAACTTGGTTATATAGTCGGGGTGGGTGGTGGCAGCGAGGCCAGAGAGGATACCCTCGCGGGCGAGGAAGAGAGAGCCGGTGCAAATGGAGAGGATGGTTCGCTCCCTGGCGGGATCCTTCTTCTGCAGCTCAGAGAAGTCATTGATGAGGCCGAGGGGTTCGGCTTCCTTCGCAAGGATCTCCTCGGAGTTGCCTCCAAGAATGATGAGGATGTCAAAGTCCTCAAGACGCTCATGGGCATCCTTGAAGGTGATTTGGGAGTCAACCACGACGCCCTGGTCGGAGAGCACCTTGGGCTCCGCACCAGCAACGGTGATCTCAAATGCATTGGAGCCTGAGAGGTAGCAAGTGATCAGTCTCGGGGTCCTCTTTGAAGGGAGAGACACGGTGATGGAATTTCAATTGGCCTGGCAAGAAAGGAATTGTGGTGACTTACTGCTATCCTTGAAATCATGGAGAGCGTTCTTGAGAACCTCGACTGGGCCGGCGAGATCGAGGAGGTCAAACTTATTCTGCAGTGCGATGAGGACGTCCACTGGCTCCTGCTCCGCAACAGCAGAGGTCTTATGCACACTCATCTTGACGGTAGTATGGGGTGGTGTCTTTTAAAGACGGGTGGGATGATAAAAGTGATGGTTGGTGGGTGGATTGATGCTTTCTTGATGATAGCGAAGAAGGGGAAAAAGCTGAGGAAGGAGGGAGGGAGGAGGAGAGGTAGAAGTAGTAGCTGAGGGTGAGGGGTAGTGAGCAGAATGAAAAGGATTGGAGCTTGCCAGATCAGATCACGCGACGATGGGATGCACGCCTCCTCCTCTACATACTACATCTCTGTGGCTGCAAAGTACCTGAAGCAAGGGCCAGGTTGCTCCCAAGGGAACCAACCCCTCTCCAGCCTTCAAAGGTGACTGGACGGTGACAACATGCCTAACCCAGGATGGAGAGCATCTGCATCGGCACCGGATTCAAGAGTACATCTCAGGTGGCTTGATCCGGGCAAAACCAAGTACCCTCCTGTGTCTGGCGGTATGTCAGAAGACCACTGCCCCTCCTCCACAGGCCATAACAGCCAAGTCTCAAACTCAAAGCCAATGGCGGGCAGTCCCGATGCTCGGAAATGCTGCTACGGCCCCCAGAAAGTGGCTTCCACAGGGGATCGCTTGCAGCTGTGACGCTTAGCGGGCCCACTGAAAGCCGCGAATTTCGCGGGGTTATGCTTGTGGGTCGATCAGCCATGTAGCTGCTAAGAAATCAGCTGCGCTCGGTACTTGGGCCGGTACCTGACTCAGCTAGCCTGCGCAAGTACCCAACGCCGGATCAGCCCATGGCGATACCCACGGGCACCTTGAGACCTGTGCCCGGGCCCTCAGCCCACTCAAATCACAGCAGTCCCACCGCGCAGCACAACGTCAGACACCCGGATGCCGGCGAAGTGCCACCGAGAATGAGGTCCTTGTCCTGCACGACCGCATCATAATCCCCATCGACAGATCCCGTGCCATCGACTGACTCACACCAGAGCTATAGGAAGAGCTACGGAGCTGGCTCCATTGGAGCTTGCCCCTGTCAGAGAGCTTCCGGCGTGATGGCTTCACAAACGTACGTTGGAAATCTTTTCTCGGGCGGACTCCCTCAACGCCCGCCACCCAGACCCCGGGGCCTTGCCTGCCTCAACCCACGACTGTGGCTAACAGAGACCTCCGTGATGCTAGTTCCCTCAAAGACCTGTCCAAGGCGATCACCGCCTTCACAGCCAGCCCCCAGGCCCCTCTGCCCGACGACCTGACCGAGACCATCGGCTCCTACCTCCAGCGCCATTCCAAGTACGAGGAAGCAGCGGCAGACCGGCTCCAGGAGGAGCTCGTATCCATCTTCGACAAACATGTTAGAGGCAATCAAGATGCCTCCTCCGTGTGGGTTGGCGTTATCCGACAGCTACTACCCATGCTGCAGACCGCCGAACGGGTGACGTTCTGGGTGGATATTCTCAAAGAAACTCTAAGCGAGCGCTCATCCCACGAGAAGGGTATTGTGGACGAAACGATCGGATCGTTGATGGACATAGTGAGCTTTGCGGTCGATTTTCAGGATAACTCCGAGGGAGACGAGCCCTTGAATGCCATTATGCATCATATGTTCACGATCTGGATGGACTATTTCTACCCAGCCTTTGTAAAGGGTGTTGCGGGAATGGAGTTCAATGAACGTATATTTCGTCAAGCAATCATTCAATTTGGAAAGATGCGACCACAGGTACGGCGATGCTGATATCCTTAGATTTCAAAGGTGCTAAGCTAATGATCGGGTAACAGCAATTCTTCGCCTCTCTCGATAGCTTCTTCGTCCAAGCCCAGCATCGCAAGGCTGCTCTCCGATTCTTATGCGACTTTATACAGAGCCACCCTCCACATTTACATCAGATTCTTCAGGGGACCATGTTCAAGAATCTTCTGACCTGCCTGCAAGAAGATACGTCTACGGTTGTTGTTTCGTCGGCGCTGACTGCCTTGATAATGCTATTGCCACACATGCCAAGCTCTCTGGTGCCGCATCTTCCAGTCTTGTTCAACATCTATGCCCGGCTATTGTTCTGGACTCAGAAAAAAGCAGGTGTGACTGAAACCCCATCTCATGATCCGGAAAAGTTTAGTGGGTGGGAGGCTTGTGAGCATGTTTATGGGGCCAGCGATGAGGCCGTGTCTCATTTGGCAAACTACTACACGATTCTATATGGCCTGTACCCCATTAATTTCATGGACTATATCCGAAAGCCGCAGCGATATCTTCGCCATGCCAATATGGCCGACGCAGATGATATCGAGATTCAGCCAACGGAAATGCGAGATCGATCTGAGCAATTCAGAAGGTGTCATCTACTCCATCCTAATTTCCATACTCTGACTATTGACTCAGAGAAATCCGATCTCGAGCGATGGATTCAGAGTGAAGCGGCAGAAGTCATTGCGCAATGCATGGAGCTCTATGTGGGAACTGAAAAACCAATCGCTGCTTGGTCACTTCCGACGGGGGCAATAGATGACAAACGAGGACTGGCCACTGTTGGGTCTGAGGATAACATTGACTCGGCTCTCCTCCATCGGTCAATGTCAGGGATGCTTCTCATGGATGGGCACCGCTCCGAGCTGAAGAGTAGAAACGATTCTTCATCCACGATAGCTCGACTAGACTCCAAAATTAGCCTTGTGTCAGATTGGGGCAGTCCCGAGGTTAGGGGGCGTGCGTCAACTCCCGATGGCCAGGGACTGCTAGCCAAATCGACTTCACATTCGCAGCTACGAGATATCATGGATGCAACGAGGGGAGCTAAGGTTCGGCAATCCATATCAACAGAAGGGAATGATTCAGATACCACAAGCCATCAAGATATGGCTAAGGAACAAAGCAGAGGGCAGTCGCAGCCTCCAATAGAGAGTCTAGACCCCACACCTCTGGTGGCAGAACTCGCGGCCCAAGTTTCTCATCTGCAGCGCCAGAACTTTATGTTGCAGAACGATCTCAGTTTCGAGAGATATCAGAAGCAGCAGCACATTGCGCATATCGGAGAGCTGCGTAGGAAGCAGGTCTCCCAAGCTGCAACTGAGGCAGAGACTCAAAATCTCATCATCATGAATCGAAATTTCAAGGGTCGGTATGAGGAAGCTAAGAAGGCAGAAATGCAGGTCCGCAAAGAGTCGGAGAAGAGCCGGGCAGTGGCCAAGAAGTGGGAGGCAGATCTCTCGACCAAGATGAAGAACCTGCGGGACCAATATCAAAAGACCGCCACGGAGCTCCAGGCTGTGCGTACAGATCTGGAAGCGACGCAGCAGGAATGTGAGAAGCTCCGCCAACTTGTATGTGATGGCGAGGTGAAGGAACTCAACTGGAAACAGAACATGCAGTCTATTGAGCTGCATGCTGCCGAGGTGGAAAGGCTACGAGCCAAGGCTGATCGCCTAGGCCAGGTAGAACAAGAGTGCCGAATGAAAGAGGAAGAGCGTTCTGCAGCTGTCGACGCCGCCGTGTTTGCTGAAAACAGAGTGGAGGAGATGATCATGAAGCTTGCCGCGATCGAGAGCGAATCGCAGCAGACCAGGAACGTTTTCCAGGAACAGATCGTTGAATTACAGGCGAAACTAGCCCAGGCACAGGAGCAAGTGAAGCCTCCAGTGACTATACAGAGGCCAGAAATCCAGGGCATTCTGGAGTCAAGCCGAGCAAGACAGGCAGAGATGCAGCACCAGTATGACATGCTGATCCGAAAGTACACGGCTCTGCAATCATCTCTACTCGATATGCAATCTGGAGCAACCCCAGAGCAGATTAAGCACGAGGTATCGAGCGGACCACTTACCGGATCGCCAGAGTATCCGTCACAAGGTTCAACTAGTCCTGTTCGGACAAGGATACGACCTCGGGTATTTTCCAATCCTGAGGTCGCTCCAGATGCTACTTCCTACAACGTGACCCCTCCCTTGGAAGGGAAACTGGGTAGTGTAGGAGCGTCAAGTTCTGGGGCCAGGCCTGCAACGCCGTCAGCGACTGAAGGAGGGCCACCGCCCGTGAGCCCAGAGCAACGTTATCATGGCAGAGGTAAGATACGCTTTCCATGCGTTTCACAAGTCAATGGGAATTTGTGCTAACTTGTCGGTCTAGGCGGTGTGCAAAATGCTGTTCGCAAGGACGGGAAAGGCAAACAAAAGGAAGAGGATGTTGCTGCAGGCAGCACTGGAGGAAAGAAAGAGAAGAAATCTTCTGGGCTTCGGGGATTCCGATCGGGAGTAAACGACTTTGTACGTGGGAAGACGGATTAGAGCGACTTTACGGCCTTTATCTATCAACTAATTTACGAATATTCGCTGAGCGAGATATTGGAACCAATGTAAACGGGCACCTATTCATGATCAGCTACACTAAATATGACACCCCATTTTGAACGATGGCATTCCTAACCAGGTCATTTCACACAAAATCTAACAGAAAATGAATGGTTACAAACACGAATAATTTATATCTAAAGTTCTTATCCAGACTGATGCGTCAATGTACCTTAATCGAGGAACCTATATAGGGGATACATACAGAGTGGGGAGCAAGACAGGTCAAGCCATAGAAGACCTACAATACCATCTGCGGAGAGAGATCTACCCTCTCCAGGGTATTGGGAGGTGCATATGAGCTGCATTTGAATGCTTGCCCTAGGGGAGAAAAGCCCGGGTATGCAATCAGAAAGATCTCGACGGACTGCCAACCCCCAGGCCCTCTTCTCCCTTATACGTGCATCCATTGATGCCAAATGCACCACTCGCCACCGTGGTCGTCTACAGACAGACGACTTATCCAAAGGCCAGCCAAGGGGGGAGTCAGCGCGGATAGGAGTAGCTCGCGTGTGTAACTATTGATTATATTCATCATCATCGCGGTAGATAGGATCTGACTTACCTGCTCAAAGGCACCCCGAGGTTACGGCTGTTAATAGTGTTCATAAGGGCCAAGGTAAACGAGATCAAGGAAGCAGAAACAACAACGCGCGCAGCCAGCACAACGGCAATTGCATAGGCAGCAATAGAAGTCACGATGTCACCAAGCTGTTACATCAAAATCGACCAATTGCATGTGATGCTTTCAACGTCCTATTATAGACACGAGTCCAGAAGCTAAGCTCCGGCTACTGCCCTTGTACATCATCACGCTTCGCTTTGAAAACTCTATGTCCTAGAAACCCTCACAGGAATAATAGAAAAGTGTGGTTCATACATAGAAGTAGCCTCAGTAAGCACCCTAGCAGCCTCTTCCATCAGCGCATATAATGTCGGGCTTCTAATTTGAGTATTCTCCTGGACCGCAAACCTGCGTTGTTCTGGATCCCATCTCCAGCCCTTCCCTCCAGAAGGCTCATATTCCCATGATTGCAGCAACCCTGTGGCGGAACTTGCTGCGTCTAGTTCTGGCATTTCACCATCAATAATGTAAATTGTTGCCCCACCATAGACATCAAATAAGTCACCAAGCTCAGAGACACAACTTTTGAGCATCCGTTCTGAGAGAATGAAACTCTTGATAGCTGAGATTGGCGTCACAATCTGATTGATAAGATCAGGCTCCGAAAGAAGATCGGTAAGCTCGAGAATAAGATTCTCCCACTCTTCATATGGAACGCCAAGCGCATCAATGTTTGTATTGAAGGAGCGTAGAAATACCAGGCGCTCTGTATCTGGGAGGGAGCAGAGTGGTAATCCATGTTGCTCTGCCCATTTGAGTGTAGCTTGCCGTGATTCATGATTCACATACACCATGGGAACTTCAAGCCACGTCTTCTTGACTAACTCAAGTCGAAAGGAAACCGGGGGACCTTCATCGTCCAGGCCATAATCCTCATCGGATGGATCAAGTGGCTGATGACGCCAGCAACCCCTATGGTAGAAATGAATGGACGGCTTGAGGGTTGGCAATGCATTAAGCCATATCTGATGGCGAAGTTCAGGAGGAAGGTTTGGGAAAAGATGGAAAGTAGGATGGGGGTCGCTAGCTGACATTATCATCAGACGGAAATAGCTGGCGTGTTGAAAATGGACGGATGACTCGCGGATGTTGGAAGAAACCGAGTCGAGGCCCTGGATGACTGGTTATATAGGCACTCATCATGATCATGCTTTTCCCCGCTCTGGTTCCTGTATAAAATGCAAGGATCCATATTATTACTTGTCGAATTAATGCATAAGACCAACAAATGCGTCAGCTGGGCAAAGATAAATTAGCCAGAGGACCAACAGTAATTCAGTCTTGGCCCATCCAATCAGGGGCAGCGCTCCTACTAAATCCAAAGCCGACACAGCAACTACTAAGGCTTGAGAATTAACATGTAAACGGGACCTAGATGATGCCAGGTCTGTTTAGAGAGGGTGTTAGATTAGAGAGGGAAAGATGGATTGTATTAGAGAGAGCACTGGGGGAGCATCTGCGAAGCACAGCCCAACGCTATGATTATGAACATAATAGTAGGCCGGTTCTATCGCGTCTCGTCGAAAGTGTTCTGGGCGTATCTAACCTATGTGCATAGTTAAGCCCCGGCTTGAAGGAAGATTTATGTGGGCGTTGCATCTCGGCATATCTTGCTCTGTGCAAGTGACAAGCGTGATAAAACTCGGCCACGGACTCTCTATAGTGACGGCTGTGATATATTCTGGATACCGGAGCCATATTATTGGTGCGGGCAATAACAATTGTAACGGTGAATAGTTACTGAGTTTGTCATCACCCATCCAGGCAAATTCAAGCATCATTGATGATATTCGTTACTTAAGTAGAACCGGCTTGCGGTAAGCTCTCTTGATCCTCCAGATCCCTCGAATCAACCCAATTCCCATGCAACCCTGCCCTTAGTCGAATATTCAAATGGACAATTGCCCTCGCGGTGGAGAAGTCTCTGGTGTCTACAATGTGCAGTTCGCTCGACATGGTAGCATAGTTACTCACCAGCACGATCAGGAAGCCGTCACCCTCCGGCGCAGCATCCGATCGCGGAACAAACACAGGCTCCTGGACCATGTGCGTCTTCCCAGGGAAGTACACCTCAAGCTGGCCGGTGTGGTGGTCAAGATGGCCCAGGGAGTTGTACAAGGGGTGCCCGCCGCCGAGCACAGGCATGATGGCGGCAAAGTCTGTGCCCCGGGTAGGATCCATCATGTCGAAGAAGCTATGCCTGTGACGCTTCATGGACATGCGGTCGTCGATCCGGGGAAACTCCATATCGCACTCGGCGATGATCTCGTGGGGGGGCAGCTCGAGGTTGGATGATTTAGGGTCGAGCGTGAACCGCACATACTTGGCTTGGATATCGTGGGGCTCTGGGGCGTTCCCGTTGGCGTCAGGCCACCAGAAAAATACGTTTTTGTCAGTCAAGGGGAGGTCGAAAACGATGTTGCCCTCGGGCGTTTCGTATGCATTTGTGGTGTGGCCCGGGAAAGCATTTGGAGCCTTGAACCACTAAAGAGAAGGCAAAATCAGTCATGACTGTGAATAAAATGGAAGTAAAATGAGAGCAGGATGCTCTCGATACCACGCATACCTTAATATCATCGCCTTTGGCCCCTCTGCGCGGCAGGACGCCCAAGTAAAAGGGGACTTCCGGGTCCCACTGCCAGTGCTCTCCCCCTTGCTTAAGCCTCTCAATGTCACATAATTGAGGGATCATTGGAAACAGAACCTGCAGCCGTCGATTAGTCGAAATCAGTCTCCGCAGGGGACGACTACCTACCCAGTTTTCAGTCACTGCGAAATCGTGAATCATCCCCACCACGGGCGATACGAGCCAGACAACTTGCGTAAACTTCCCACTTGGGCTAATGTTGTAATAACATATGTCCGGCGTCCCATCGCCCTTGGCCTCGTATCCGAAGCAAACCAGCTCCTTTGTGACGGGATCCAGCTTTGGGTGAGCAGTGAAGGTGAGACTGGGAAGTTGGCCGTTGAAATCCCAGAGGCCAATCGTATCGAGCGTGGCGGGATCCATGGCCCAGGGAGCTGCGTCTTCCTTAATAGCCAACAACATCTTGTTAAAGTATACGATGTTTGTGTTGGCAGTCGTGCGGATCTTGAACTCGACAGCATCCGTATACTTGTTCCGATACGCCCCTGTGCAAGCCAGGTTATGAACAATGTGGTCTTTTCAGAAGGCAGCATGCGGCCAAGACTTACCCGCAAGAGCTCTCTTGGCCTCCCTTTCCCTGGTGAACTTTTCGGTGCGCACGTACTTTTGCTGGAGATGGACGCTGCCCTTGCTGAACCGAAAAGCACTGATGTTGCCATCCCCATTGAACCACTTTGTCGAGCATTAGCTGCCAGGCCCATCCCGTTCAATTCGAATCAGTTAGTACCTACAGGATCATTCTCAATAAAGGGTGGGAATTGGGGGTCGGGCATGACACGGTAGAAAGTTCCATCAAGCTCTTTGGGCAAGTCACCCTCAACCTCAAGATGTTGGATCTCGCCTTCGAAGCGGCATGGCTTCATGAACCCCGAAAACTGGGGCTGTTTTGGGAAGGCCTGGGCGGCCTCGGAGCCTCGGAAATGTCCTGACATGGCTAAAACTAAAGCGAGCTAATAGTACGGTTAAGAGAGCCCAGGAAATGATTGGAGGCGTGGCACAATTTAATACTGAGTCGAGTTTTGATAGCAAAGGAGCATGTGGAAGATGATCCCGATTTCTCCCCGGCGAAGCTGCTATATGTCACTGGTACTAATGCCCGGCTTGCCTTGGTTGTCCTTTATCAGAGTCTCCGGGCGCTGTTAAAATACATGTATAAGTAATTTGAATCATTATTATAATCAAGATCATCTTTGCCTTTTAGATTATCTATTTTGATATATAACTTCAGTATCAACATACTTGTGGTAATTACTTATCTCAGCATCAACCCTGGAAAGGTACCTAAAATAGCGTACTTTATAGTGGCGGCACGGTTTCCGAATCTCCCCCGCGAGTATCCCCCACGAATTTGGCCCGCGAATTTCCCCCGGATTCCGCTACCACCGCTATCCATTAAGATGTGGCAGCCAGGCACTGTTGGTTATTCTTATATTCAAGCCAGTGGCTCGAAAATCCTGTTTCAAGACCTGATTTGCATCTTTACCATATACATTATTACCATATCAATTGAACACTGGGCAGCCCAAAGTTCGTCTCATTTAAGCACCAGACGACAACTATCATGACTTACACCAAGCCTCACCCAATGAAGACACCTGACGATGTCACCAACATACCACTCATAATCCATGGCACCGACGTCTTTGACGAGACCGAGTCAAGACCTCACACCTTGATAGGTTGTCGGTTTCGCGCTGCCGACCTTTCAGATTGCCAGGAGGCTCTCCAAAGTAGCAGCAAGGCGTTTCAGTCATGGTCTCGGACATCCCCGCTGGAGCGACGCCGTTTGCTCCTGCACCTTGCCCAGGCATGCTCCCCTCTCCTTTCCCAGGAAGAAAAAAAGAACAAAAGAGAACATGGTTATAGGTTCTAATGCTAAACAGCTGCTTCGTCAACGGGAGAAAGAGATCCAGGACATCATCCAAACCGAGATTCATTGCTCTGAGGTTTGGGCAACTCAAAATGTCCGCGACAGCATCAGTCTGATTGAAACAAGCGCCTCTCTCGTTACATCAAGAAGTATGAGTGGATCAATCCCTCACACAGAAGGCGAAAGATCATTTGGATTCGTCTTCAACCGGCCCATGGGAGTAATCCTTGGAATCGCGCCCTGGAACGCTCCCCTGGTCCTAGGCTTTCGCGCCGTGGTGGCACCTATCGCGATGGGAAACACAGCTATACTCAAAGTAAGTGGTCTCCGATGAGCCTATGCACGTAACATGAGACGCGAAACTAACGGTCCCCTCCCCCCAAGGGATCTGAGCTGAGTCCAAGGACTCACCACTTCATTGCGCAACTGTTCGTGGAAGCCGGTTTCCCGCCTGGAGTCGTCAACTTCATCCTGCACCGACCGGAAGATGCGGCGGATGTAGTCAACGCCCTGGTGACGCATCCTGCGGTTCGGAAGGTCAACTTCACAGGCTCCACGGCCGTTGGTCGAATCATTGCCGAGACGGCTGGCCGAGCCCTCAAGCCGGTGCTGCTGGAGCTGGGTGGTAAGAACTGTTCCATCGTCCTGAAGGATGCCGATGTCGAGAAGGCAGCCGAGGCCATTCTTCAGGGTGCGACGTTAAATGTGAGATTTAACCTTCTCTAAATTAATATTGGGAGTGGAGTTTTCTCATGCTAACCGCTGCACAACAGGGAGGTCAGGTTTGCATGTCTACTGACCTGGCCTTTGTCGCGGCTGAGATTGCCGAAGCCTTCAAAGAGACGCTTCGAAATAAGGTCAAGAACTTGCGCGCCACATCGCACAAGGCCATCAGTACTCGCGGGGCCGCCAAGTCTCTGTCCTTGATGGAAGAAGCCAGGAAGAAAGGAGCCAAAGTAGTATCTGCTGCCACTGAAACTCAGACCAATGGTCGAGACCCCCAGGATGTTCCAGTCACCTTGATTGAAGACGTCGAACCATCGATGGATTTCTTTTCCGCAGAGTCCTTTGGGCCTTTGGTCGGCGTGGTGGCGGTCGACACCGTGGATGAAGCTATCAAGATTGTCAACGAGAACGAGTACGGCCTTTCTTGCGCCATATGGACCGGAAACCATCACCAGGCGCTGGAATTGGCACAGAGAATTGACACTGGAGCTGTTCATGTCAACGCATCGACTGTGCATGATGAGGCAACATTGCCACACGGCGGGAGCAAGACGAGCGGATTCGGCAGGTTTGGGGCTGAATGGGGACTTGCGGAGTTTGTTCAGACTCAGACAGTAATTTTAAACCCATAGAATGCAGAGAATTCCACCCAAGCCAGAATAGAACCATCATTTTGTCACATCCTTCGCCCCTAAAATGGGTTCATTTCATCGAACCGTAGACTGAGTGGAGTGTAGGCAATCAACCAGAATGGGCTTGAGCAATTTTCAAGCTACGTAATTGATATGTGCATTAAACCAGCAAGCAAGCAATACTTTGTGAGTTGGAATATGTGCCAGCGTGTCTTTGTCAGCGATGATCGTAATAAAAATTGACAGCATCTTGACTCAGTTGACCCTAACATTGATTACTGAGATACTACATATGGATATGAAGAAGCTCGTGAACATGAACGTAATCTCATGCCAGTAAGTTAATTGGATTAAAATAGCTATCTGTGTGATAGTTACGGCGTTGTAGCTTGTCCCTATTCGGTAACATATTTCTCAGTGTCGACTCCTTCGACACGGTAAAAACCAAGGGCATTGAGCATCGGCTTGTCATCGAACCGGTAAAGGTAGACCTTGCTATCCCCGTCCGCAAAGTGCTGGTAATGGTGCCAAGCAGGAATACAGAAAGTATCGCCCTGCTTCCATTGCAGGGTTGTGTCGTTGATCTTGGAGTAGCCAGATCCTTCAATAACATGGTAGATGGAAGAGGCAGTCTCGCGAACGCCAGGAGATTGAGACTTTGGGTCAAGTCGTTCAGCAGAGGCTCCGATGATGAGACCGACTAGGTAGGAAAGAAACATGTCAGCGATATGTTGCGAGGTTTTTCCAGGAGACCAGCGACACTTACTTTCTCTACCGTCTTTCTTGAGATACGGCTGCGAGACCCAAGCGTCCGAGCTAGCATCAAGCTTGGCCTGCATCTTGTCCCAGGGGAAGACAATAGGTGACTCGTCCCTGTCCTCGGCAGGATACCGAGACTTGGCATAGTGCTCCACGAAATGGACGGGGAAGTGAATGAAGCTGGGCAAGTCCAGACCATCGAGCCAGATCACGGGCTGGTCGTCGCCACCCTCCTCATCGGCGCTCTTCTTGCCATGGTCGTGCCAGTTCCAGGTCGGGGTTACGATAACATCGCGAGGACGCATGGGAACGCGCTGGCCGTGGACAGCTGTGAAACCGCCCCTGCCTTCGATGATGAAGCGGCAGGCAAAGGCAGTGTGTCGATGTGCGGGCGCAGTCTCGCGAGGCTGCACAAGCTGGAGACCGGCATACAGAGTGTCCGTAGTGTATGGTGCCTCTGTGGAAATGCATCAGCAATGTAGGACCACAAGCAGAGAGAAAGAAGGGAGAGTGGGAGATGTACCTCGAGCTGGATTGGCAAGCATCACGACTCGCCTCTCCGCCTGCTTCTCAGTGATGAGATCGCCCGCCCGCAAGAGGTACGGCCGAAGCTCATCATAAGCCCATACATGCGGGACTGTCTGAGGATTCGGCGCTGGAGGATTAAGACGCTGCATCTGAGCCCACAGCGGGGCCGTTTTCAGGGACCGCATCTGCTGCACGAGCTGTTCTTCGGTCTCGATGGACTTGGCCGGGATATTAATGTGGCCATTTGTTGCCAGTCCATTCCCGTTGGCTACGCTTGGTGCTGCCATTGTGAGGTGTTGGTGCAACTGTTGAGTACTTGCCTGCTAATGCTGACGCTGAATCTGCCTGTTATATGTGTAAGTATGTCTTGTCAAATCAAGATAAACAAGCACCAGCTTTATTGATTACCTGCCTACCTACTTACATGTAGTATATAAACCTACCATCCATGATTACTGAATATGGCAATTACCGGGGAAGCTTTCCGGAATACGCCCGCGGGGAAGAAGCAGATCTTCATGGCGGGGCAAATTCGGAGCACTCCCGGCACCATGATTTACAAGACCATCTCGAAATGCGCAGCATATTACATGTAAGTCAGTTCCATCCAGTTTATTACTAAACGATAGTCTCTCTCAATCTTACTAACTTGAATATCTCACACGATTCTATCATGATTCTTGAGCACACCATGAATGGGGTTAGTGTGACCGAAAAAGTACGCCTCTCTATATACACTGTGAACACCGGAAAGTCTGAGCTACTGACACCAATGACCTGTAAAAAAGATCTACGAATACCCCTCTCGGTCAATGGCGCTTCTCAAGAGAATCCAAGCTACCTATCATGACCAGAAACTCCCCGCTGAGAGATCCCATGTGCCCCTCCGAGTGCTAGTCGTCGGGGCAGGGCTGGGGGGTTTGAGCACTGCCATATCTCTGGCTCGCCGCGGACATACCGTGACTGTCCTTGAGCAAGCTGCACAGCTAGGCGAAGTAGGTTCCAGTATATCAAGAGCCTAGCCCTCGATGATCTCTTACTGACTGGGTCCATCTAACAAATAGGTCGGCGCAGGCATTCAAATCCCACCCAATTCTGGCCGGCTGCTCTCCTCTTGGGGTATCACCCCGTTCTTCAAGAACAAGGTGGTACAGCCGGACAGCATGACCTTCCGTCGATGGGTGAATGGAACCCCTATAGGCTTCACGCCGCTCGTCCCCCACTTCTCCGATACGTATGGTGCACCATACTATGTCATCCACCGATCACACTTCCACGGTGCCCTGTGTGATTTAGCGGCCAAGCTCGGGGTCAAGGTGGTGACGAACAGCAGGGTAGTGCGGTATGATGAGAACAAGCCCTCTGTTGAGACAGCGGATGGGAGGGAGTTCACTGCCGACCTGGTTGTGGCCGTTGACGGCGTCAAATCCATCGCTCGCCCTGTTGTTCTCGGTGGAGTGGACAGGCCCCCTCAACAAACAGGATTCGCGGCATACAGAGCAGTCGTTGACACTGATTTGATGAAAGCTGACCCAGATACCGCTTGGCTACTGGAAAACCCGGGAATTAACATTTGGTAAGCTCGCTCTTAGATACCAAAATCCTTGCAGTGGCTGACATTGATGAGTAGGATCGGAGAGGACAGGCATGTAATGACTTACTGCATCGCTGGAGGAAAGTCGTTCAACATGGTTCTGTCTCATGTTGACCGCACTGACCCGGCAACCTGGGCTTCTCGAGATGCTGTAAAGGAGATGCGAGTTCAGTTTGAGAACTGGGATCCTAGGTAAGCTCCTCCTCTACAAGAGACCATTGTTGGGCGGCGCAATTCTCACGCTCAACGCCACAGACTGACGAAGGTGATTCACATGATCACCAAAACGATCCAATGGCCACTGCTGAGCGGCGCCCAGCTCTCAACCTGGATCTCCGAAAGCAAAAAGGTCGTCATACTTGGCGACGCCGCCCATGCAATGGTTCCGTACATGTCCCAAGGTGCTGCTATGGCAGTCGAGGATGGGGCCGCATTAGCCGAGGTCCTTTCACTAATCAAGTCCCCGAGTGAGATTCCCGAAGCCCTCCACGTATTCGAGAAGGAGAGGATGCAACGCAGCTACGGCATGCAGCGTGCCAGCCTCGTCAACGGGAAGCTCTGGCACTTCCCCGATGGGCCGGACCAGCAAGCCCGCGATCTGGGGATGCGCGCCGAGGTTGAAGGTCTGTCATTTGTCGAAAGCACCAATCAGTGGAGTGATCCGACCACGCAGCTTTGGGCCTATGGCTATGATGCGGAAGAGGAGGTGAGAAAGGCATGGGAATCAAGGACCCCTCAGGCTACTGCCAATGGTGTTCACAATTAGTATATGCAGATAGACCCCAATTTAAATCTCTTCTTCAAAGTCTCACAGATGTTTCGGCTATTACTCTTTGTAATCAAAACGACCAGCTCCACGGCATCTAGACTGGTTCAAATGTCATGTCGTGGTTATTCACGCCATTTAGAGGACGTTACAATTGATGTTTTGAATGCGTGTTTAGGAGGTATTCTTTGACTTGCCCCCAAACTTTCCAGTCCTTACATAACTTTAAAGTAGTTAAATCATATTGTTAGCTCAAATATTACTTGTCAGAGGACCACACTGAGCTGTCCTTGAGTATTCTATGCATGCATATTGCCTTCTTCTGGTTTATTCTATTTCCGTTACTTCCTAAGCCAGGTCAAACCCCGAGAAATTCCGTGTTTACTAAGTTCAAGCCTTGAAGAATTCATATGTTCAATCTAGGCGAATTCCACCCCGTTTCTGAGGGTTCCTATGGTCGAAATGTTCACTTCCATACTCGTCCCGGGGACAAGATATTTCGGTGGCTTGAGCCCGGCACCAACACCTACAATTTGGAGAGATTAGCATTTAACTTTACCAGAAACAAAGGAAGATAGAACAGATTCGAATGCTCACCTCCGGGAGTGCCCGTCATAATCACACTGCCTTTCTGCAGGGTAGTCCCCGAGGAGAGATGAGCGATCAGCCGCGAGACAGAGAATACCAAATCATCTAACCCAGCATTTTGACGCAGCTCCCCATCAACAATTGTCTTGAGGTGGAGGGTTGATGGATCGGGGATTAGAGTGCTCGATACCAAAACAGGACCAAGAGGCGCGTACGTATCGAACCCCTTGGAGAAGCCCCATTGAGGGACGCCTCCAGCTTTCGCCGGATCTCTTTGCCATTTGCGAGACGAGATGTCGTTGCCGGCCGTGTATGCGGCCACGTAGTCGAGTGCTTCGGATTCAGAAACATCCTTTGCGTCCCTTCCGATGACCACGACCTATTTTCAGGGCAAAGGCATCAGCATTTTCCTAATCGCCTCGGCATAACTAAGTAAGAAAATGGGCCATCTTACCAATTCGCCCTCATAATCTGCCTGATCGTCTTGCGCGATCTTGGGAATCACCACTGTAGCTCCGTGGTCGGTTACGGTAGTCGAGGGCTTGAAGAAGATGGAAGGGAATGGCGGCTGCGTTCGACCCGCCTCGCGAACTATTGCACTACTGTGAGCATTTTCGGCGTCCATACTTGCTAGCAAACAAGAAAAGACTCACTATGAGTGGCATAGTTCAGCCCGACGCAACGAAGTATCGGCACATCCGCGGGGGCGAGAGGACCGAGGAGCTTCTTGACGGTGGCGACCTCGTCTGTCACTTTCGTGGCCCCGGTGGTATCGTATATATCCTGGCCCTTGACGACTTTGGCCTGCAGGCCAGACTTTTCCGTGGTGTCACCAATGTCAAAGTCAGGGTTGGTGAGAATGGGCTCTCCGTAGAGAGTCCGACCGTCCGTAGCGACGAAGCGAATCAGGCGTGACCAGGCAACCCTCATTTTGCAGAATACTAGCAATCACAGGGGTACGAAACTTCTGCAAGAAAAGGACTCTCTGTCTGCGTGCCATTCTCACACTCGATGATTTGTTCGTTCCTCGCGTTGAATATGACCTCGATGCCCGGGGGACCGGTCCCGATGGTTCCCCGGCCCCATAAATCTCGCTCCAACGAAATTGCTCCACCTCTCTCCGCACTTTGGCCGGAACATTAACCCAACGTTTCCCCGGATTCTTACACTCTTCCCTCTTCGCTTCACTGCAACAGCTGTCAGCCCACAATCGCTCTCATGTCAGCGGCCGGGGTCCCATCGGAGGGACAAGATGACAGTAACTCAACGAGTGACCGAATTGAGGGCGCTGTGAGCCCTCCGGCGCCGAAACGGAGACGGGTTGGCCTTGCATGTTCCGCCTGCCGGATCCGAAAGTCCAGAGTGGGTTGAATCCTGTGGTTTGACTGGCACAAGCCGGCAATAAAGGCTGATCTACCGTCAATGACAGTGCAACGGCGTGCGCCCTAAATGCGACCCCTGCGATCGCTTAGGATTCGAGTGCATCTACGAGCTGCCCGACGCGTCCGCCAACCTACTCGTGCCTCGAGAGTGAGGAAGAAGCCCCCAGCAAGAGCGATTACCCAGGTCTTTAGCTCACATCAACTAGCATATTTGCCACCTTGGAAACCAAGGTCAAACTGCTTGAGGCTACTGTCCAACAACAGGACCAGCGCATCAAAGCCATCGAGACATCTAATGTCAGGAATGATCGCCATGTAGAGTTGCCCGTCGCCCGCCACGAGGCTCCGGCTCCGGGCCCTGGCATGGCGACCGGCGTCATTGTCCATCCCGAAGGCATTGAAGATGCCCCCACGGAACAGAGCATGACTGATGGCATGGCACTTTCCTTTGTCAACGAAGAAGACTGCGGGTTCTTTGGTAAGTCTCTCTCTCCAGACCCGCGCCCGTGAGGACGCATCTCATCATCCCTCGTCTAGGCCCGTCTTCAAACATTGCCTTCATGCGTCACATCTTCCGTGCAATGTCCAAGAAAGGCATTACGAGCCAGGGTCGGTCGCCCGACTCGCCCTTGAACATCGGCGCCTACCAGGCCAGCATGATAAGCGTGCCACAGCCAGTGTCGTCCTTGTCTGTCCAGGAGCAAAATGGGGAACTGGAAAATGCCGTCCAGGCCAACATTCTGCCGCCGGAAGAGGAGACTGAAAAGCTCATCCGGTCCTACTTCTCCAACACTGGCCTTCTCTTCCCTTTTATTCACGAGGACACATTTCTAGCAACGTATAACCGCATGCGGGATCAGCATTACCGAGCCAACATCAGACGGACCTGGCTCGGTCTGCTAAACATGATAGTCGCCATGGCCATTTGCACGTCGCAGTGGGCTGAAGATGGTACAGAATATCGAACGGACCAGTCAGACGTGTATTATCGGAGGGCGCGAGAACTCTGCAAAACGCAGATGATGAGAGGCACTACTCTCGAGACCGGTATGTTGGCGCTTGACATAAGGTCAAGCACTCTGGAAAGCTGACGGTGAGCACAGTGCAGTATTTATTGCTCACGAGCCAGTACTTGCAGGGCACGCAGCGATCGGTCCAGACATGGACTACCCACGGCTTAGCTGTGAAGGCGGCTTTATCCATCGGCCTCCACTCGAGGGACGTGATGGCTAGATTTACGCCCATCGAGCAGGAGATGAGAAAGCGGACCTGGTTCGGTTGTGTGCTATTGGATAGGTACCACACACTTTTTTGCTTAACCAGGGCTGGCTAGGTAGCTAATCGTGTTCGTTCACTAGGAGTCTCAGCATGACGTTTGGGCGGCCGGGTGCTATTCCGGAGGAGTATATCCAGCTGGATCTTCCCACAATCATTCCCTTGGATAATGGTACCGAAGCGACGTATAGCATCGCAAGCGTCGGCTTCTTCAACTCTACCATGCACGCCTCCCCCTTCTTCTCGCAAGCGCTGAACTACCACTAACGGTTCATTTTCAGTCTTCTATACAGAGTTCTGTGGAAAATTGTCGCCACGCTCTATGGCCATAACCTTGCCAGCGTAGAGACACCACCCGAGACGTGGATGATTACGCAAATCTTCCAACTGGAGCAAGAACTCAACAACTGGGCCAGCGCATTACCCAGTCCGTTATTCTTGCGGAGTTCCACCAACTTACCGGAAGAAGGCGATGTGCAAGATGATGTTCTGGAGCGATTCAGGGTGGTTCTTTCGCTGCGATACTTGAGCGTGCAATTGTTGCTATACAGGCCGGTGCTGGCTGATTCCCTCGCTCGCGGAACGAGTGGCGAAAAGCAGCGCTCGGTCAGCAAAGTCCAGGCCAACTTCAACTTCATGTGCGTGCAGGTCGCAGAGGACATCATCAACATCATCCACGCCGTTCTCACGAAGCCGGGTCTCGGGCGGCATCTCATGGGAGCCTGGTGGTTCACGCTGTATTATAGTAAGGGGAGCCCCCCTTCGTCACCGTGACACACACCTTTTTGGTCCAGCACACCGCTGACTTTGTTTCCTTTATCAGCTTTCAACGCGGCTTTGGTCCTGTTTGGTAGCCTTTTGGTGCCGATCCAGGACACGGCGAATGATCCCTTCGGGGTGGGGGAGATCAACCGCACGAAGCAGTACTTGGAAAAGGCTGTCCAGGGCCTCGTCCAGCTTGGGACGCGGAACATAACCCTCCATCGGTGCGTCGACTATCTGAAGCAACTGGTTGGGCTACTTGATAGTTGGGGTCAGTTTTCACTCGTTTGACTTTTTTTGTAATCAAGTCACTTTTGCTGACACTTTGCACACAGGTTCATCGCCCCCTCTTCATCTGGATGGGCCAGGTTCGAATAATCTCTCCAGCAACGCCGCCCAAGATGCAAATCTCTTATCCGACCTGCTCTCCAGACCTCCAGCGCTGGAAGGGCCTGGGATGGGCTTTGAAGATGATCTCGAGCTTGGGAACTTTTTCACGAGCGAGTTCCAGCGGTGGTTTGACCGGTTCCCGACGTAAGACCTGCTGCGACGTCCCCAACGGACACCTGACAGCAGAGCAGTGAATACACCACATGTCATATGGAAAGTACCACCATGGATGGGTACTATAGTGGTACCCACACAGTAGCGAGACCAAGGAGACTTATATGCCAACCCATTAAGTAATATAGTCTAGTAGCAATCCTGCGTACGAATGTGAACCCAATTTTTCTCGTCCTCACCAAGCCTGCAAGGCACCAAGAGACGATAACCACCATCCACCATACCGTCTAGCCGTTCGGCTCCGTTTCCCGATATTGTCTCGTTGAAGTCATCGTTCAAGGCGAAGTAACTCTCGTGTGTGGACTCCATTGTTGAGTCCCGCTCCTGTTTGCCTGGATCGCATGTGGACTTTCAGCGTAGCATCACTCCATGCTCGTGCTGTAAGTGCTTGAACGTCTTGTTGTTGGATGCGGATGGCATCGCTCGACACGGCAGTCACCAACGTCAATTGGCCAATTTGTAAGTTCAACCCGGACTGAACTTCCCCAAACGGGTCTGTATCCACGAGTTGTCCTGCCCGCGATACCAACACACCCTCCGACAAAAGTGAGCTGGCAGAAGTGGAAGCTGCAGGAGTAAAACTCGACAACACAATCTATTGTTGGGGCTCCGATATCGGTTGTAAGGGTTCTGGTGCCAGCAAAAGGCCCAAGCCAGCTTGTGGTCCTGGGTTCGGTAAATCGAACTGTTGGAACTGGTGAGTTTGCATGGTGGAGATGTCGGGTATAAGTCTCCAAATCACGAATACCGGAAATGAAAAAGCGCTCTGCTTTGTGGTCCTGAACATGCCCCTCTGAGCTTCCATCTTTGCGACTTGTTCTTTCACGAATTGCTCGTCTCGTTCTCCCGAAGGGTACTTCTTGCATCGCTCCGGCGCGGGCGTGTAGACTTCCTCCTACCCTATATCCGCTCTTAGAACATATGTTTAATTAGCTTAATTCTTTATGTCTCTCTTTCTTTAATTACACATAAGTGAATAATCTCTTCGTGGTTTTTATTTGATTAGAGATTGTTATGATTGCCTATATATTCTCCAGGCTTTAGTGTATTGGTGCCTCGGCCTAGACGTACCTGACCACAACGGTGAGCGGGTAAGCATCCACACCACTAGAGCTGGGAGCCAAATCGGGAAATCTGTCTCCTGTGAACACATCTGTTTATCTGATCGTTACCTTGGATGCGGAGAACCCTTCTCTCCTGGTCCCCAACGTAGCAGCTCGATTTCATTTCCTGCTACGCTGCACACCATTTTCCCAGCAATGTCTCTATCTTCTCGACTGGGGCGTCTGGCCTTGTGCCTGGCGCTTCTCGTGGCTCTCGTCCATGCTCACAAGGCTGCCGATAAAACGCTCCTGGATAGCGTGAGCCTCGATGGCCTCGACGAGCAACTCCAGGTTTGAGGCCCCCCTCCCGGGAACGCATCATCCGAGGAGCAGGCGAGCCATTGCTAACAGCCTTTTTAACTATATAGACCTGCCCCATCGTCCAGGAGCTCAATGCCGCCAAACACGCCAAACACTCGGCGGCCCCGTCCTCCCTGACCACGCGCCTCTTCGCCGTCCTCTTCCCCGGCTCCCCCGCCGTCAACGCCCTCCTCGCGACCCTGTACATCTCCGGCCCGCCCAACTTCTTGCTCGCGCTCTGCCCGACCGACATCGACCCCTCGTCCCTCTCCGTCATGGTGGCCTTTGCCGTCGGCGGCCTGCTGGGCGACACCCTCTTCCACCTGCTCCCCGAGATCTTCCTCGGCGAGGACGAGCCCGAGCGCGTCCGCCTGGTGCTCGTCGAGCCCAACCGCAACCTGCTCCTAGGTCTGGGCATCCTGGTCGGGTTCATGGTCTTCGTCGCCATGGACAAGGGGCTCCGGATCGCGACCGGCGGCGCGGGGCACGACCACTCGCACGGGCATGAGCACGGGCACGCGGAGATCAAGAGCGAGGGGCACGCTACGGGAGCTGATGCTTCTAACGGAGGGGTTGTGTCGAGGAAGAAGAAGGGCAAGGGCTCCAAGGAGGAGGACGCCGTTGCCGAGAAGAAGGAGGTTAATCCCAGCGTGAAGCTCGGTGGTTACTTGAATCTGATGTATGCCCATTGGCCCTCGATTGTACAACCCTCTCTCCTAGTCTATGATGGTTGCTAACATGGGATTCGCTGTTTAGTGCCGATTTCACCCACAACATCACCGACGGTCTGGCCATGTCTGCTAGTTTCTACGCCTCGCCCACCATCGGCGCCACGACCACCGTTGCCGTCTTCTTCCACGAGATCCCCCACGAGGTCGGCGACTTTGCCCTCCTCGTGCAGTCTGGCTTCTCCAAGCGGGCGGCCATGGGATCCCAGTTCATCACTGCAATCGGAGCTCTGCTGGGTACTCTAATCGGCATTGCTGTGCAGGAGTTTGGTGGTAGCGGAGCGAGCGCGGGCGACGACCCCATGGCCAGGACTGCTGGACTCTGGGGCACCAGCTTGGTAAGTACAGACAGAAGTCACCTTTGCTTCATTGACCCCGTTGTGGATGGGTGTAGTTGGTTTGAGAATTGATTCTGACTTTGGATTTCCAGACCTGGGGAGATATGCTTCTCCCATTCACCGCAGGCACCTTCCTCTACGTCGGCACCGTGGCCGTGATCCCGGAGCTGTTGGAGACGGGCAAGAACAAGGGCGAGGAGCTCAAGAAGACCCTCGTCCAGTTCACGGCCGTGGCCGTTGGGGCCGGCATTATGCTCTACATCTCCTGGCATGAATAGACGGAGTAGACTGGCGAGTTTAGAAGAACAGCTGGGTCTTTATACGAGTGGGAAAAAAAAACCAAAGAGTGACCCAGCTTGACTTGGAACTACTTATTATTGGTTGTTGTTCAACGGGGTTGGTTAGAGGACTGTGCAATTTTCAGAAATACCGGCGGTGTGAGATAAAATGTGTTGGGCGGGAGCAACAAAAAATGTTATAGCATGTCTGGTTAGCGGATATCATTGATTGAAGCTTTAATTAACGAGGTTGGCTCCATTGCATTTCCGAAAACCCATGGGCCTTTTTCTCCATTCTGGCGTCCTGGCCTAACCTGGCGCTATTGATAACCGAGCGAGGTCGGCATAGGTGACTTGTCGATGGCGTCTTCAGGGTCCTGCTGTCGGCCCACACGCAAGAGGGCAGGGAGGGGGGCATGGGCGAGACGCGGTTCGGGAAGCCATTAAGGCGAGCAAAGGGGCATGGCAGCATGCAGAGAGAGGCGGCTCTACCCGGCGCGCGTATCCCAACTCGGCCATGGCCCTGATGCGAAAGGGAATTTTGGCGCACGCAGGGTCTTTTTTTTCTACGGTGAGCCAGGAGGCCGCGGAGTCACGATGGTTCCAAGCTGCTTCCATTACCTTATCATGTCCAACCGTAAAGGGAGCTGTGAGGGCGTGCAGTCTGGACTGGTGATCCCTGCAGTTTGAGATGTCACTTAAGGCGTGCCTGCCATAACGGGCATATAATTGGCATCTCTTAACTCGGGCTTGTTTATGGGGATTTATCTAGATCTGGCGGTGGGTTTCCATAGTTCTGGACAGAGGGATGTAATGTTATATTTTTCCAAACCCACAGACCATGGACGGTGAGAACGGGAGAATGTGCTGGGCTGTGTAGGAATGGCTTTGATAAGTTTCCATTCCTAGGTTAGGCTAGGGAAGGAGGTGGAAGTAAGCACTGGCAGACGCCGATGGCCTCGTGGCTAACAGGCATGCCTCATTGGATGCGAGGACTGGTTTAGAGGTTGTTTGTTACAGATAGAGAGGCTTATGCTGGGGATAATGATGTTCAAACGAGGTATGCACAGAGACAACATACGTGGCAGTGGCAACCACCTGACGTCCCCTTTCTGAAGTTATTTCCTATTTTGCTGAACGTGTTAGTCAATGGATGGTAAATGCTGGAGAACGTGGGCGGGAAGAAGAGCACGATCCCCAAAGGAGGCATTAGCTAGTATACGCAAAGATGGAGCACACTTTTGCGCCTGGGGAACCAGGAGGCGTGGAATAAGACGGGGATGAAATTAGCGGGAACGGGAGGGCGGCTCGCGAACAACGAGCCTAAAAAGCCAAAGGTTGAAGGAAAAAAAGAGCAAGCTCGTGATCTGACAGAGGGCTCCCGAAGATGGAAAGACTACTCTGACCCGGGGACGAATACAGGCAAACAGAGTGGTAAAAGCGGCGATGACAGGTTCGTGGGCCGTCGCTAGCCCAAAGGAGGGGATCGGCAGGCAAGTCGTGCAGGAGGGAATTCCCAGGGGACCAAGCCGACAAGAGAAGTGCGCGCCAATGCACCAAGGGACGGGTAGGCACATGAAGGACGGGGTTGTTCTCTTAGAGCGCAGAGCTTGCTTGATGGGCAGGGCGAGCGCTCCGACTGGTGCGCGGCCTGACAGGGGGCTGGGGGACAGGCATCGGCAGGGCAAAGCGGCTCTGATGAAGCGCAGGTCTGCTGGTAGGTTCGATGTCGTGATGGCCAACAACGTGCTCTACACTGTACGGCTGGGGGTGTGGCGTGCGTGAGTCTGCCAGTGGAGATGAGATGAGAGGGAAAAGCGACATCGGCATATGTTATTAATGTTCTGCCACCAGGAGAAGGACCGACCGATGGAAGGGGGGAGGAGAGAAGGGAGAACTCTGTTCAGCCAGGGACGGCGAGCTCGTCTAAGCCAAGCAGACTACTAATTTGTCTGAAGGTAAAATCCAAGGGGACCATTTCTTAGAATGTGTGATTAAAACTCTCCCCGCAACTGCGGATGTGCGCGAGGTTTTAGCGGTACAGCTTCTCGACCAAGAACCACTCTAATCCCCAGGTTTCTTTCTCATTGCAGCAACTGTGGATGTGCATGTCTAGATCCCAAATGTCAAGCACCAAAAGCAAATTCTAGCTAGGATCCCCTAGTAGTGGGCACATCAAGCGTGCATAGCAGAATGCAGGCTCTAATCGCCCCCTGCCGCTCTCGAGATAAAACCAACTTCCTTCATGGACTGAATGGCCGCGAACTGGGCATCACAACCTCGCGATAATTACTTTCCTCACCGCTGGGAGGTTGGTAGGGTGACGGGCAAGTCCGTGTAAGCCATGAGAGATCAGTAGGCGAAAATTGGAGCAAAATGGAAGTGGACCAGAGAATGGCGACAGCAGTGGATCCGTTGACTAAAGAAAACCAGCCAGAGAGTCATTGCATTGACACACTATCACCTCTACAAGTCAGCGAGCCAGTCATGAAGCAGGCCAACCCGGGATGCTGCTGGAGCTCATGGCAGAGCTTCCAAAAAGAATTCCGAGTAGCTCGTCTTCCGAAGCTTCTGACGGGGCGGCTGGTCCAGATTGGTTCTGGTGCGAGGCTACCATGAAGCTACCGTGAGCCAATCTGGGCAAAGGGCAGTTGGAGAGAGACCAAGCCGGGGGCTGGTTGTTATTTTGGGTCGTTGCGGAACAGGGGTCAGGAATTTTCTTCAAGGTCAACTGATTCTGTTTGGGGCAAGCGAAGGGTCCAGATTGCATGCAATTGACCCGGATGGGAGAGCCTCGAGATGAAATGGTCCGACGGCAATAAGATCCTGGCTGTCAATGCCGCTGCCCGTCGACGAAGCTTCGCGAAAGCCCACCGGCCTGGCCTGACACACGTGCGTCGTGTCTGAAGCCTTCCCCTCTGGGTCTGATGGAGAAGAGCAGCCAGCTGGTGTTGTCCCCAAGAGAGAACGAGGCGTGGAACCAGTGGAACCTCATGCAAGTGCTGGGGTTCAGTTACTCTCTTGGGAGATCGGATCAGGATGGATGCAAGGCACACAGACAGTGCACCCATGATCTGTCGCCTAGGTGGTTTCATGCTTGTTTTGACAGGCAGAGTCGTGAAATCATCAGCACCACTTGTTCCTCCCCTCCTCCTCCATCGGGATGCTTACGATCGCGAGGCGTGATCACGATGTGACGGTCAAAACCTTCCGTTCTGTGGCCCATGCTGGAGACAGAAGCATCCTTTATGATGCAATGCATCTGTTGTCCCTCCAAGTCGGAGATTGTCCTCCGCCTGCCTCCCACCATGATGCCGTAGATCCCAACAGCATGTACATAGATCGATCGCATAGATGGCAAGAAAAGAACGGCGTCGTTGAATTAGGAGCGCGATGTTACAGATGAGACGATGCGGTGAGACGAGATGATTCATCGCACACTGGATTACGGGATCATGGGTGCGCCACGGTGGAAGAAACGAAGCTCTGCCGTTGACGGACAAATGACAACAGAGATGCACATCAATAAGCATTTCCACCGGCATCTCGATAGCTGGAATTTCACACAGTTAGTCGCGGCTTGCCCACACATGACCCCCACCACTGGCCTTTGCGCCTTTGGGGGATGCGGTGGCCTAATCATTGCGAGCAGCTGGGGTCTGCTCTTTTGCTTCCTTTCCAGCCCAAGTGCAAAGGCTAATGGCATTATCGATCCATCCGCCCACTTTCAAAAGCGGCATCAGAGCCAGAAGGTGACTCAGGCCAGTGGGAGTGCACCGTGCCAGGCGTCAGATCCGGCCACACCCACGATGCCTTCACACACCCCCCCGGAATTCGTCCCGGCATTTGACGACGATAAATAATCAGCCTGCCTGGCCGCTGTCTGCTTTGCCATGGCTGCTCGTCATTCTCTCCCATAATCCTTAATATATATATATCTTTACACATCTCCCTTATCCGATCTGTCCAGCTTCTGCCGTGTCTCTGTATAGACAAAGATTGATTGATATCACATCCCTACCACTTATATAATATACCCTCCGATCATCTATACCTAAACTTACCTCTTGCCCTATCTCCCCGCACGACTTGGCTTACGCAGTTACCAGCCTTTGGGAAGCCACCGCATCATCATAACCCAATTACAAAGAGCGTCAGCTGTTTTTTTTGTATCTGCCACTGGCCAGCTGATTACGTTTTTTTGCTTGGCATCCATCCCCTCATCCAAATCGAGGAGTGCATAAGAGGAGGCAAACCGCCCCCCAACCACCATCTTCCACCTGCTCTTTATATCCGCAGCATCTAGGATTTCTGGATTACTACCCGCATCAAAACCGAGAAGTTTGATATGCCCGGTATTGTCGACACTGCTGCGCGCGGCGCTGTTCGCCCCAAGGCTAGTGGCGCTGCCAAACCCAGTCTCGAAGTTGAGATTAACCAGCACTTCACTTCCAAGGCATATACCTCTGGTTCCCACGTGTCTGGCCATGTGGTGGTCAAGTCGCCCCGCGATTTGAGCTACGATGCCTTCAACATCTTGTTCACGGGCACAGTCGCAACCCGCCTTGATTTTGTCCAGTCCTACACAACCAACTCGGTAAGGACATTTCTGAAGCTGCGAATGCCAATCGACAACGAGCATCTTCCCGAGGACCGGGTGTTTGTGGCCGGAAAGACATACAGCATCCCCTTCCACTTTGTCATCCCCCACCAGCTCATCATCACTTCCTGCAACCACGGTTGTGAGAACCCTGCTGTCAAGGACCAGCACCTGTGCTTGCCACCAACCATCGGCTACTGGGAGGCTGACGACCAGGCCCCGGATATGACCCATATCGAGTATGCCATCAAGGCCCAGGCGGTTTCTCGCTCTGCTCCAGGCAGCGAGCCCAAGTACAGCGTTGTCGAGGGCAAGAAGATCATCAAGGTTCTGCCAGCCCTCCCAGAGGAGGCTCCGTTGGATATCAAGATGAGCGATGAGCGCTACTGCATGAGCAAGACAAAGACCCTCCGAAAGAACCTCTTTGCAGGCAAGCTGGGCGAGCTCAAGGTAACCGGAAGGCAGCCCAAGGCTGTCATGCTGTCAAGCAACGGTCTCTCTGCCTCCGAGACCACCGCACGGATCAACCTCGAGTTTGAGCCAACTGTAGCTGATGGAGTACCCCCGAAGATCAACTCTGTGGCTGGCAAGATCATCACCACCACCTTCTTCGGCAGCACTCCGCAGGACAAGTTGCCCAACTTCGGCCCCAAGGACTCTTATGCCACGAACCAGCTTCTCACATACGATGGCACCCACAACCTGTTTACCACCCGACCCGAGAAGGTGTCGTGGGCCCAGAGCCGTATTCCCTTGCTGCGCAAGGATTCCGGATACTCTACTGTGGGCTCTACTAACGAGGACGAGATGACCGCCTCCGACGAAGAGGCCCAGTCAAACCCCCGGGTCAAGGAGAAGAAGAAGAAGTCTCCTGGTTCAGGCGTTAAGCACTGTGCTGCCATCGACTTGCCCATCAAGATCCCCGTCTCGAACAAGAGGATCTTCCTCCCCACCTTCCACAACTGCCTGATCTCGCGCACGTACGTGCTCCAGCTCACCCTGTCCGTGGGACCCTCGAACACGACATTTTCGCTCAACGTTCCCCTGCAAATCGGTGTCGAGCAGCGATTTGACCCCCGGGGCGACGACGAGCTCCCAAGCTTCGAGAGCGCTATGGCTCAAGCCGAGGGTGCCGGGCCCGACGATTACCTGCGTCCTCGGTCGACGCTGCAGGTTCCGAACAACACAAACATCGTCCCCATGCCACGAACTGGCAGCATTCTTCCTGGCTACGACGAAATCCGCCGTCCATCGGTCCCAGTTGCTTGAAGCTGTAAATCTGGGACGCAATGAATCAAAATAATAATAATAGTGTACGAGAGGAGGAGGCAATAATCATCACGAATCATGACCAGTTTTTGTTTAATTTTTTTTTTTTTTTTTTTTTTTTTTTTTTTTTTTTTTTTTTTTTTTTTTTTTTTTTTTTTTTTTTTTTTTTTTTTTT